AGTGGCCATAGCCAAGTGAGCTTTAGTGATTGGAAATCCATAGTGATTAGCCCATGAATAACCACCCACTTTGCAACATGGGCACTTTGCTATGAGGCCCACAGGACAAGTTCAAGAGTAGATGGACATAAAGGCTGACCACTGTCCCCAGATATGTCATATTATCCACCTGATTATTAGCACCATTTCCATTTGAGGACATACTATGGTAGACATTTCACAGAACACAAAGAGCATCCAGATCTGTGTTCACTTGAGGAGTTCTACTCACATTTTCTCTTCCTCAAATATCTTCACCAATTTTCTTTTCTTTTTTTCTTAAAGAATTTATTCATTTGACAGAAAGAAACAGTGAGAGAGGCAACACAAGAAGGGGGAGTGGGGAGGGAGAAGCAGGCTTCCCACTGAGTAGAGAGCCCAATGTGAGGCTGGATCCCAGGACATAACCAGGAGGGAAGCCAGACACCTAAGGACTGAGCCACCCAAGCACCCCACCCATTTTCTTATTGTGTTCCTTCCAGCACTGGCCACCAAGCCAAACTATGAGTCAGAGCCATAGGTTAGTATAAACCCAATTCTGTCCTTCTCTCAGTCCAGGTGAATAAAAACAATTACTCCTCTCAAATGCTACCTTATTGAAGAATTTTCCTGCACCCAGGTTATGCAGGGGTGTCCCAGATGAGGCTGCAGCAGAAATTTTTTATTATGTTATGTTAGTCACTGTACAGTACATCATTAGTGTTTGATGCAGTGTTCCAAGATTCATTGTTTGCTTGTAACACCCAGAGCTCCATGCAATCCATGCCCTCCTTTACACCATCCCTAGGCCAACCGATACCTCCACCCCCTTACACCTAAATAGATATTTTTAATAATTACATAATTCTTAATTAATATGCAATAAATTTTAGTAAAAATAAGTTTATAATGTTTAAAATAAGAAATCAAAAACAGGATTCTTGCCAGCCCGTGAAATAAAATTCATAGCAAACAGCCATTATGAGCATTCCTTACTACAGATTGCATATTGCTCTACCAGAAGCCATGATGCTCATGGGAAACAAAAGGTATTGGGAAGGACACCCAAGATAATTGATGTCCAGGAGTAGTGAGGGAAAGAGGACCCAGTGAAAGAAACCCTATATATATTCCATATAGTACACATTTGTAGGCTTTTAAGTGTTTATGTCATTAATACCCTTCAAAACCTACCAAAGTGCACCATATCTCGCCATTTATACATTTCATTATATGCTTTTAATCCTCATTATGTAGCTCAGTCCCAGAGGTGGTGTTTATCTACTGGTGCTCTAACATCTTCTCTTGCCAGAGAAGAGACACCCACCTTTGTCACCACATGCTTAAATACTAGAGTGAAGCTAGTCCCATAGTTGGCTTCAGCAGGCAGCCAGGTGGACCTGTGAAGCCTGACGCTTTCTGGTTGTGGGTACATACATATACTGGTCATTCCAGCTAGCTGTCCCTCATGTGGACACAGTGATGATCTGTGTAAGCCTGGATACCCTCCCCCCCAACATGAGTAGAGCTGTGGTTGATGTGAAGACTGTATCATGTCTTTCATTTCTTTTTTATCTGGAAACATGCAAATATTACCAATCTAGATTTGACATTAGATATGAAAAGTCCACCTCACACAAGACGACCATGCAGCAGAAATATTATTAACTATCAGAGTTGCCTGCATATAACATAGGAACCTCTAAAACCAGCCTTCTGTTTTTTCATCTATATCAGCTGTTCATTGGATTATCCCCATTGGGCCATAGCTGTGTGCAACAGAGAGAAGATAATGGAGCAGGGATCAGAGGTTATGGACATTTGACCTCTTCCTCATGCAACTCACCTGTTCCTTTAGGACTTGTTGAAGCCTGATCTCAAATTTATCTCCTCTGTTTGGTGATGGACAGCTGCTGTGTATGCCCAGTTCCATGGCATGGTTGTTCAGTTGGCACGCAGTCCTTGCAGGCAGTCTGGTCACATGATGATTTAGTGGCTAATAAGGAGCACACAGCCTCTGTTAAAGTTCAGTAGCAAGTCAAAGTGTTTGCCAAAGGGAGCTTTCTTTTTACACATATGTAAAAAAAGGAGTAACCTGCCCTTCTATTTCAGTTGTAGGAACTCCATAATTAACTGATACCAACATCCATGGTCAAATGAGTCTGATTAATAATTTCTTCTGGCTATTCACTATGGTAACAATGCCCAACTTATAACTTCTGATGAAGTGGGACTGCATGCCTCCTAACAACACAAAGACCCCATTAATAAAAACTTGCGGGGCACCTGGGTGGCTCAGTGGGTTAAAGCCTCTGCCTTCAGCTTAGGTCATGATCTCAGGGTCCTGGGACAAACCCTGCATCAGGCTCTCTGCTCAGCAGGGATCATGCTCTCCAAATCCCCCACCTGCTTCTCTCCCTACTTGTGATCTCTATCTATGTCAAATAAATAAATAAAATATTTTTTAAAAAAGCTATACAATTCAGAGTTCATAATCTGTAGAAAATATGTATGTATATATTGTAAATTTGTGTATATATATACATATATATTCATATGTATACATCATATGTATACATCTACAGATATACACACACAGACACAATTCGTATATATGTGCACACACACAAGAATATTCATATATGTGTCTGTGTATAAATATATGATAGAAAGAAGTGTGTGACATGAAACGATGTCAGATGGAAACACAAACACACACACAGGTGAACCACACAGAAGCCACCGTGACTGTCAGCTACAAACAGCCTCCCACTTCCTACTCAGTATGCAGGGCAGATCTCATGGGGCTCCTCTTGTGACTCACCTTTCCTGGAAACATACAACAGGAGGATTCTAACACATCACACCTGTCACTGAGTTTTTAATTTATGAGAAAATATTACCTTGGAACTCAATTAGTTTTGAATTGCAGACACCTAAGGTCCTAACTGTCCCCGCATCCTCACACAAACCAGACTTTTCCCCACAGGGACTGACTCCAAACACACTTCAGTTCTTGTCCCTTCTTGCCATCCTGACAGCAGCCCCACAGTCCACTCTGCAGAGACACCTCCTCCAGCCTCTCCTCACAAACGACCTGCCTGTCATTTTGTAATGTCACTTCATTCCATGCAGTCACCAGACACTACACATTTTCCCTTATTGTTATTTTATTATTTTCTTAATTAACTCTTTTCTGCTAATTATTATCCTAGGTGATCAGGAAGATGTTAATGTGATACATGTCCCTCTGAATCATGGGCATGAACACTCAGGTGCTTATTTTTCTCCGACAGAAATAAGTCTGAAGTCAGATGGTGGTTCTCACCAATTCCATAAGGTCCCAAATCTTCTCACTTTCCCACCATCACATGCTTGCTTTGGCAGCACATGTACTTTCCCACCATCACTTCTACGGAGGTTTTTCTTTTCCTTTTTATTGACAGCAGACCTCGGGACAGCTGTGGCAGCTCCAGCTCTCCTAGCCAAGTACCAGAGCAAAAGCACTGTATAAGTCTAGTCTGTTTCTTTTCTTCACAAGAGTAAAATTTCCCCAAATGATCCCCAGCCACATAATACATTTACAGGCAACCTTTGGACCATGAGTCATTGTTGACCCAGTGGCACCTGAGAATAGCCATAGTGTGACTCCTAAATGAATATAGAAGACAAGATGCAGATAGAAGGGTTTGGAGTCTATATGCTATATCAACAAAGCATGTGTGTCCACTCTACTGCACCAATCCCAAGACAGGAACTCTGTCTGACATAGTGACTGTATCTTGTTCACACCAATTTCCAGGATGGAATGTCTCCCAGAACAAAGTGGGTCTGAATAAATGTCTGTTAAGTAACATTTCTCCTATCTCTGACTTGGAAGCAATAGTCACCTTTGCCCGGGTTGGTCCTGCACCAGCTGCTGACACCAGTAAGAGGAAGTCCCTGATTCCTGTGTCCTCTAGTGCCAACCTCCAAAACCACATATGTGGCCGCCCAACACCCATACTTCATATGAGCCCTGCATTCTCCTCCTCTAAATGAGCCTGCTTATATTTTCATGGGTAATCTGGTGAGCTCTTGCATGATGTTGAGGGTGGCAGGGGCTTCTTAGAGAAAAGCAATCCCTCAAATGGAGCCTAAAGCCCATGGATCAGGGAATCAGGATCTTCTGATCAGAATTTCTGACCAGAATTTCAAATCTGGACAAAGGAATTCTTGCACCTCCAGCAGTATGTGGAGTGGCGGCCTCCAGGGGTCAGTAGCGATCAACTGACAAAGTCACCAGGACCTGGGGTATGTCTGGGTATCAGGGGTTTAACAGGGTGAGAGACTTCATCACCACCACCTGAGACCTAAGGAAAAAGTTATAGGGTTTCTATAATGTCACCTTTACCACCAACATAAAATTATGACTCCTTGTTGTTTAGATCTGTGTCTTCTAGAATTTGCCTCTGTCTCTTGCACAGGTCCAGTACTTCATGCCTCTGTAGCACAGCCTATTCGGCTAAAACCCAGTCACTGTCAAACCTCACTCAAGCACTGCATCTATCCAAGGAACTGAGTTCACACTGGGGAGACTGAGCCACAGGATCTATGACCTGCCCTAGGAGCTCTCCCTGAGGACATCACCTACAGTACTTCAGTGGCTCCTGCAAATCTCCATATGTGCTTCACAAGTAAAGAATTCTTTTCATGTTTGATGGTCACAAACAGGGATCTGGGCAGAAACTGCACTGATCTAAGCCTATTATGGCCATCCAAGGAGCAAGGAGAGGACATATCAGAGCCAACTATTGGGCAAGTTGGTAAAGCAGAATCCCTTGGGCTGATGGGAGGTATGCAGGAGACACCAGTGCCTCTCTGTATCCCTTGGAGCTCAGGCTTCTCTCAAACCACTAATCTCCTCAGCAGCATATTTGCATAAATGATTTGCATAACATGCAGGTACTACCAGCAAGGGGATAAGAAAGGCCTGAGAAGGAATGTGCCCAGACTAGGGCCTCAGAGACCAGAATTGGGGCACATTCATCATGGCCTGGACCCCTCTTCTCCTCAGATTCCTGGCTCACCGCACAGGTGCTGAGCCCAGGCTCATACCCACCCAGATCCACAGAACTGTCACAAGCCTGGCCCTGACACAGAGCTCAGTGGGGCACTCACTGCCTGTGGCGGACAGGAGGCTCAGGACCCAGCTGCCGGATGAAGGACTGGAGGGCTTTCTGTGAGCCCTGAGGGACTGACTGAACCTGCCCAGGGAAAGAGGGTCATGGTCTTGTGTGTTCAAAGGCTCCAGCCGCCATCCAGGCCCATGGGTCCCAGGGGCTGAGACTGATAGGAGGGGTTCCCTGTATGCCCAAAGTATCCCTAAATATCAATCTAGGTCACATGGGTGGGGGCTTCCAACAATGAGACCCAAATTTGAAAGCCCAACTATCCTTTTCTCTCTTGCAGGTTTTGTGGCTGCCTACGTGCTGACTCAGCCTCCCTCAATGTCGGTGAATCTGGGACAGATGGCCAGCATCACCTGTGGGGGAGACAACATTGGAAATACATATGTTTCCTGGTACCAACAGAAGCTGGGCCAGGCACCCTTGATGATTATCTATAGAGATAGCAACCGGCCCTCAGGGATCCCAGACCGGTTCTCTGGTTCCAACTCAGGGAACACGGCCACCCTGACCATCAGCAGGGCCCAGGCAGAGGACGAGGCTGACTATTACTGTAGTGGTAGTGATCACAGTGACACGGGCAGATGGGGAAATGAGACACAAACCCCTTTGCCATCTGAGTCACACTATCCTCCAGCCCCAGGAGGCCTGTGCACAGAGCAGTGAACAGTCTGACCTAGGCCCCCAGGTCTGAGATTCACAGGCTACTCCCTCTTCCCTGCCCTGCAGTTGGGCTCTGCAGAAGATGTATGATGAATAACACTCAAATTACCGTTGAGTGAGATTCCATTTGTTTGAAGAGGCAGAGCATGACTGAACATGTTCAGTGCAGATGTGGGCAAACTTTGTACAGGGCCACATCTCACCTCTGGAGATGAGAACTGCAGCATCTAAGAGTAAAAATGCACAGGGTAACACTGACAACAGATTAGATGCTGCAAAAGAAGAGATTCACAAACTCCATGACATCAAAGTAGTAACCATCCAAAATGAAATAAGACAAAAAAAAAAAAAGACTATAAGAAATGAACAGAACTCAGTCGGTTGTGGGATCACCTCATGCAATGCACTATGCTTGTAACTGAAGCCCCTGAGCAGAGAAGATGGACAGGAGGGAAGAGGAACAACGCTTAAAGTGGTATTGCACAAATATTACAGGTTTGGTGAAAACAATAACTGACATATTCAAGTTCAACAAAGCTCTAGCACGAGAACCATGAGGTACCGACACTGTCATCACATCACACCCATACTGATGAACATCAGTGTGGAAGAGTCATCTGTGAAGCAGCCAGAGAGAATGTGCAGGTCGTCTGCAGAGGAATAAATATGGTGAGAGCAGATTCTTATTATGAGCAATGCAAGCAAGAAGATGGTGGAAAAATGTCTTTACAAGAAAGCTACTAAACTATGTGTCTGTAGGGGACCTGGGTGGCCCGTTCCGTTAAGCTTCTGCCTTTGGCTCAGGTCATGATCCTAGAGTCCCAGGATCAAGCCATTTGTCCCACTGCCTGATCAACAGGTAGTCGGCTTCTAGCTCTTACTTTGCCCCAACCCCACCTTGTGTGCTTGTGTGTCCCCTCTCTCTCTCTCTCTCTCTCTCTCTCAAATGAATAAAATATTTATATATATAAAGATTTTATGCTGTATCAACATTATAGACTATATATATATATATATATACACACACACACATATATATAGTTATTTATTTATTTAAAAAGGAAAAATTGTCTGACTGTAATCCATTATCCCATGAATATATCTCTCAAAAATGAAGCAAGATAAAACTCTTAGCCTGCACGTAATCAATCACCCACAGACACTCACCACAGCAGCGAGTGACAGACGCCCCTCGCACCAAGGAACAGTCTCTCAGACAGCAATGTGACTCCACACAAAGGGATGAAGAACATCAGCTTTGGGAACTACCAGGACAAACATAGAAATGTCTCTGGATGATCACTGTGTGAAGCTAAACATAGTAACAACATTATCTGGCTCATGATGAATCTCAGAATAAAACTCATGACCACCATAGCCCAAAGTTGGGGGTGGGTGAGAAGAACATATTAAACAGTCCTTGTTCTATGTGAGGTGATATGAAATCACTAGAAAGTAGACTTTGAAAAGGGAGATTGGTCTGTAAACCGTGAAGCAACGATAAACTAAAACCTCTCAAGAACAAAGAGTTATATCTAATGAGATGTGTTCATTAGGGTTCTCCAGACAGAAGCAACAGGAGAGGCACACAGCTGAGCCTTGAACAACATGAGCTGAATTGCTCAAGTCCAGTTACACACAAGGGTTTACATGATAGTAAAGTAAATGTATTTTCTCTTGTTCATGCATTTTCCCCAAACCTGTATGTTTTATTTCCACAAGACAGCCAGGAATGGGAGTCCTGAGCAGCCAGACAGGTGGAAGGACATTCTTCCCGTACAGGGTGCCTGCCCTATCCAGGGTCTACCACAAAGCAGAAGCCTGGTTTTCATGGAGACAGTAAGGGTAACTCAAGGATCACTCTGAGGGGACCTGGTCTCCCATGAGGAGTGCACACCTGCAGAACTATGGGGAGCAGAGAAGGTCCTTCTATTACCAGGACACTTCTGTGGAACATAACACATCACCACACAGCCGTCTGTTCAATATTCTTCTGGTCAATACCTTCACTTGGTGAAGGTCCATTTGACGGCATTTCCCAGCATTCTCCACACCTTGGGCCAGACTTCCATTCCCTTTTACAGGTGGTGGGTGTCCTCCTATTCACTCAGATTTTGCTGTGCTTATGGATTTGTCCTGAGAGCAAAGAGAGATCTCATCAATCTGCACGTGATTCTCTGGCTGCTGCCTCTACAACTGGTCACAAGGGAAGGCCAAGCTCCATGAAGCCCACTCAGTAGAGGGAGCTAGAGGGTTGAGGAGCTGAGTGCAGCTCACGTTTGTTTACCACATTGTTAGGCCAGGTTGATGACCATGCACAGGTACTTGTGCATTAACCATAAGCCCATCGATGTTCTTGGCTGAGGACTAGTGCATGGGGTCAGCACAGTGCCCATCCTCATGGAGGGTTGCATGGGACTGCCCAGCCAAGGGCTGCAAGGAGCCCCACCTTAGCACCACTGATCCTAATTTTCCTAATTTTCTTCTTCATGACATTTTCCTTTTTGACTCACTTTTTTTGGTGAGAATATATAGTTCATATAACATATAGAATATGTGTTAACCCACTGTGTAAGTTGTCAGTAAGTTTTATGGTCAAGAGTAGACTAGAAGTAGTTCAGGTTTGGGGCAGTCATAGATATATGCAGATTTTAGACTGCACCTCTGTCAGCACCTCTAACTGTTCAAAACTCAACTGAAATGTGAATTATTCACAATCTGTTCAAAAAAATAAACGAATCTGGTAGGCTTCTTAACTCATTTCATATAGATATTGTTACAATGATATGAAAAGTACACATCACATGAGAACTATAGATTACTGTTTCTTTTTTTTAGTTTTTTAAAAATTTCTTTTCAGCGTAACAGAATTCATTGTTTATGCACCACACACAGTGCTCCATGCAACACATGCCCTCCCTAATACCCACCACCTGGATCACCCAGCCTCCCATCCCCCGCCCCTTCAAATCCCTCAGATTATTTTTCAGAGCCCATAGTCTCTTATGGTTCACCTCCCCTTCCAATTTCCCTCAACTCCCTTCTCCTCTCCATCTCCCTATGTCCTCCATGTTATTTGTTATGCTCCACAAATAAGTGAAACCATATGATAATCGACTCTCTCTGCTTGACTTATTTCACTCAGCATAATCTCTTCCAGTCCCGTCCATGTTGCTACAAAAGTTGGGTATTCATCCTTTCTGATGGAGGCATAATACTCCATAGTGTATATGGACCACATCTTCCTTATCCATTAGTCCATCAAAGGGCATCTTGGTTCTTTCCACAGTTTGGAGACCGTGGCCATTGCTGCTATAAACATTGGGGTACGGAGAGCCCTTCTTTTCACTACCTCTGTATCATTGGGGTAAATACCCAGTAGTGCAACTGCAGGGTCATAGGGAAGCTCCATTTTTAATTTCTTGAGGAATCTCCACAGTGTTTTCCAAAGTGGCAGCACCAACTTGCATTCTGACCAACAGTGTAAGAGGGTTCCCCTTTCTCCACATCCTCTCCAACACAGGTTGTTTCCTGTCTTGCTAATTTTGGCCATTGTAACTGGTGTAAGGTGATATCTCAATGTGGTTTTGATTTGAATCTCCCTGATGGCTAGTGATGATGAACATTATTTCATGTGCATGATAGCCATTTGTATGTCTTCATTGGAGAAGTGTCTGTTCATGGCTTCTGCCCATTTTTATATATGATTATCTGTTTTTTGTGTGTTGATTTTGAGAACTTCTTTATAGATCCTGGATATCAACCTTTTGTCTGTACTGTCATTTGCAAATATCTTCTCCCATTCCGTGGGTTGCCTCTTTCTTTTGTTGACTGTTTGATGCGTGCACACTGTTGAAGCTGTGCAGAAGCTTTTGATCTTGAAGTCCCAAAAGTTCATTTTTGCTTTTGTTTCCTTTGTCTTTGGAGACATATCTTGAAAGAAATTGCTGTGGCTGATATCAAAGAGGTTACTGCCTATGTTCTCCTCTAGGATTTTGATGGATTCCTGTCTCACGTTGAGGTCTTTCATCCATTTTGAGTTTCTCTTTGTGTATGGTGTAAGAGAATGGTCGAGTTTCATTCTTCTACATATAACTGTCCAATTTTCCCAGCACCATTTATTGAAGAGACTGTCTTTTTTTCCACTGTATATTTTTTCCTGCTTTGTCGAAGATTATTTGACCATAGAGTTGAGGGCCCATATCTGAGCTCTCTACTCTGTTGCACTTGTCTATGTGTCTGTTTTTATGCCAATACCATGCTGTCTTGGTGATCACAGCTTTGTAGTAAGCTTGAAATCAGGTAACATGATACCCCCAGTTTTATTTTTCTTTTTCAACATTTCCTTAGCACTTCGGGGTCTCTTCTGTTTCCATAGAAATTTTGGGATTATTTGCTCCAGCTCTTTGAAAAATACCAGTGGAATTTTGATTGGAATGGCATTAAAAGTATAGATTGCTCTAGGCAGTATAGACATTTTAACAATGTATATTCTTTTGATCCAAGAGCATGGAATGCTCTTCCATCTTTTTGTGTCTTCTTCCATTTCTTTCATGAGTGTTCTGTAGTTCCTCGAGTACAGATCCTTGACCTCTTTAGTTATGTTTATTCCCAGGCATCTTATGGTTCTTGGTGCTATTGTAAATGGAATCAATTCTCTAATTTCCCTTTCTGTATTTTCATTGTTAGTGTATAAGAAAGCAACTGATTTCTGTACATTGACTTTGTGTCCTACCAACTTACTGAATTGCTGTATGAATTCCAGTAGTTTGGAGGTGGAGTCTTTTGGGTTTCCCATATAAAGTATCATGTCATCTGCAAAGAGAGAGAGTTTGACTTCTTCATTGCCAATTTGGATACCTTTTATTTCTCTTTGTTGTCTGATTGCTGTTGCTAGGACTTCTAATACTATGTTGAACAAGAGTGGTGAGAGTGGGCATCCTTGTCATGTTCCTGATCTCAACGGGAAGGCTGCAAGCTTTTTCCCATTGAGGATGATATTT